AGAAAATCAGTTTTTTTTTTAAAGATTTTATTTATTTATTTGAGAGAGAGAGAGATCATGAGCAGTGGGGAGGGGCAGAGGGAGAAGCAGACTCCCTGCTTAGCAGGGAGCCCAACATGGGGCTTGATCCCAGGACCCTGGGATCATGACCTGAGCCGAAGGCAGATGCTCAACCGACTGAGCTACCCAGGCGTCCCAAGAAAATCAGTTCTTAAAAAGAAATGTTCACATACCTCAGTTAGCACTTCATAAAATTATTTAGCATTGAAACAAGTCAGTGAAACACATGACATTGCTTAGTTGTCATAAACTCACCTTTATTTCACTTAGTCAGAGGTCTTTGTGCCAGCAACTAGTAGCAGTTCATCAGTGAGCTGATTTATGAAAGGTGCTTCCCCTGCCCAATTTTCCTTTAGTCAACTCTCTTAAATACTTGAGAACGAAGGCCTATTATAAACTCAAGGTTATCTTCAGCTTTATTCTTCGGTGTAAAATTAGGAGAGTGGAATTTAGAGCTTCAAATGTTAGCTAGTGACAGAAAAATAATATAATATTATAAGAGTAGGAATGGGATAACACTCCTAATGTTTGTTTTCCCGACAATCTGGGATGCCTAAGAATTTTGTGCCCTCAAGACAGGTGTCTAGGAGTACTGCAGTGGTTCTGAGACTTCATGTCACATACATCACTTTGAAGCTCATAGTTATGAGAACTTCAGCTTTTGGCTCTAACGGAGCCTGTTTTGATAAATCAGGTTGATCAGAGGGTGAGGGAGTTTTTTTCCTTTATGTATGTAAAGACATGCTCATTTACATATAGAAACAAAAGAAGTCCAGTTAGTACAATATGATGAAGTTATACATGGTTGGCTATCCTAAAATTATGTCAGGTATAATATGCACAATCTTAATGAATTAATGGTACAAATCTTAACTTGTTAAAATTTGAAGTTATTTACATGTTATCTTCTCCATTTAAAAATGGACTTTATTTTTAAATAAATTTACCAAATTGACAGTGACTGATATAGATAAAAGTTTGGTGTTAACAAACTGCTTTTAGCTGAAATGAATTGAAGTGCCTTTCCCACAAAGCATGTATCTCGTTCAAATATACATTGTGATCTATTTGTCATAAATTATCAGTGTCCTCGAAGCTATGAAATGCCCATTTTTTCTAAGAAATTGTTCCCTCTGTAATTGAGAATTCTAGAGAATGTTTACTTCCTCAAGGCCCAGTTGCTCTATTTGTATCTTCATGCTGAAGGAGATCATTACTTCTATCAGTGAAGTTCTCCTTGGTATTTCCTGATTTATTTAGAAATCTTATGAACCAAAAAGACTGAGGTAGTCTGCGGTTTATGACACTATTGTTCACTGTGAATAAATGTACACAACTTTTTCTGTAAATCATTTGGTATCCTACTTATTTGGAGAAAAGGTTTCTCCCTCAGATATACAGGTAACTGAGGCCTTGGGTCTTACTATGAGTGTGAAGGTTTCAGGTGTTAAGTACGATAATCTAAGAAGTATAACAATGTAGAGACTGCTTAGTCATAATTAAAATTTTTTCTGACACAATATAGTATTTTTTAGAGTATTCTAATTTGGTAAATGTAAAATAGAATTTTTTTTTATTATTCTAAACAATTTTTTTCTCTATAAAAAAGCTTAAAATAAACTTGCCAAAATGGCATAGTTAAGCATATTCAAAATATTTTATGGTGATATACCTCACGCAACATGAAACTCACCATTTTAAATTGTACACTTAGTGGTTTTTGGTATACTCACTATGTTGCGCAACCATCTCTACTGTCTGCTTCCAGAACATTTCAGTCTCCCTAATAAGATACTCCATACCTAGTAGTAGTTAGTCTCAACTCCCTCCTTTTCCCATTTTCTGGCAGTCACTAACCCACTTTTGATCCCTAAGGATTTGCCTATTCTGGACATTTCACATAAATAGAATCATATAATATGTGACCTTTTGTGTCTAATTTTTTCCAGTTAGTATAGTGTTTTCAAGGTTCATCTGTGTTGTAGCATGTGACGTACTTCATTTCTTTTTACAACTGAATAATGTTCCATTTATGACTTTATCACATATTGTTTACCCATTCATCAGCTGATGGCCATTCGGGATGTTTCCACTTTTTGGCTATTATGAATAATGCTACAGTGAACATTGATATACAAGTTTTTACGTGAACATGCATTTTCATTGCTCTCTGTTATATACCTGGGAATTGCTGGGTTATATGGTGATTCTATGTTTAAGTTTTTGAGGAACTGCCAAACATTTTTCCACAGTAGTTTCCCTGTTTTACATTTCCACTAGCAGTATATGAATATTCTAATTTCTTTACAATGTCATCAGTGCTTATTATTTTCTGTTTTTTAAAATTATATTACTAGTGGATGTGAAATGATGTATCTTTTATTTGCATATTCCTAATGACTACTGATGTTGAGCATATTTTCATGTACTTATTAGCCACTTGTATATGTTCTTTAGAGATATGACTGTTCCTTTTCTTTGAACACTTTTTAATAGGGTTGCTTTTTAATTCTTGAGTTATAAGAGTTCTTTACATTTTTTGGATACAAGCCCCTTAACAGATATATACTTTGCAAATGTTTTTTTTTTTTTCTCATGTTATGGACTGTCTTTTCACTTTCTTGATAACGTCATTTGACAAAAGTTTTTTTTTTTTTTTTTTTAAAGATTTTATTTATTTATTTGAGACAGAGAGAATGAGATACAGAGAGCATGAGAGGGAGGAGGGTCAGAGGGAGAAGCAGACTCCCTGCCGAGCAGGGAGCCCAATGTGGGACTCGATCCCGGGACTCCAGGATCATGACCTGAGCCGAAGGCAGTCGCTCAACCAACTGAGCCACCCAGGCGCTCCTTGACAAAAGTTTTTGACAAAGTCCAGTTTATCTGTTTTTCTTTGATGGCACATGTTTTTGGTGTCATAGCTAAAAAACCATCATCTAATCCAAGATCATAAAAATTTTCACCTTTATTTCCTTCTGAATGTTTTATTGTTTTAACTTATACATGTAGGTCTTTGATCCATTATTAGTTAATTTTTGTATATGGTGCACGGCAGAGGTCCAGATCCATTCTTCTGTATGTGGAAGCATATTTAATTTAAAACCTTAAAAAGGCAACAGCTATGAAATCACTGTTTCATTATTCAAATGAACATATAAAAATTGGAACTTTAAAGCATAATTTTAAATAAAATGAGGCAATTAATTGCATTATACATAGGGAGATGAAACTAGAATTAATCTTAATATTATTCCTATTGGACTTGTCATAGCTGTTTATTTCAATATTTTTAATAGTGTGGCTAAAATGTAGAGCTTATTTGA